AAGGTTTTTCAGAACCGCTCACAGAGCGATTTTTATATGGATAATACACTTCCACCGGCTTGTCGCATGTTTAGTTCACCAGCTGAATTTCGCTCATCCATCAAATGGATCAATCGGTGGATTCGGCTCTGTTTTTCTTTCCTTTCTTTCTTGTTTTGAATTGTACGTTGAACTCATTGGATTTCTTTGTATTCTGTATCTCGTTATCGTTATATTTCCCTCTAGCCCTCTCGCTTAGGATGAGCTTTCTTTTTTATGGCAGCTTAAGCGAAGGCTATATACGTGCTTTATGCAGGTTGATGCCAACGCGAAAAAGCAAAATAATAATAATAATAATAATCAAATACCTAGGGTTCCCTGTAAAAAGGCGCTGACGCCTGTTGGGAATTCCCTAGTAAAAGAAGAATAAATATAACTCCAAGGCGACAATCACGTGACATACGTGAATATGGGGCTGTTAAGTGATGACGTCACAGTTCCTTCGATACGCATAGCAACGATCCCACTGGGGACAAACAAACGTAGCGTCGTCTCCACCGAACCAGTTGTCAGTGGCAACATATAGGAATCGTGTACATTTCTTCGTTTCTTCTTTGCTGTTTTCAGTGAGTGTTTTGTTTTCTCTTTGTCCTTGATCTCGACGGCGTTGTCGTGCTCATTACCTTACTGAGACGTCTCTTGTGACTGTAGCCAGTGTCACGGAGGATTTTATTGGCGTGACGAAGTAGATCGCCGAGATCGAGCGTGAAAAACGCTCTGCATTAGTAGCTCCTGTAGAATGTCTTCTGGGATGGCGTATCCATGGTCAACAAAGCCAAGGTGCAAGACAGCATAAGAGATCGTGCAAACGATGTGAACTCCAAAAGGTAAGCTCCTGAACAAGTGGAAAGATATGTGTATTTACAAACTCTCTCTTCATCCATCGATTGCCGCTATGCATTGCATTTTGTCTTCACAGATAATCTGGACAAATAAATTATATTGTAACTGGAGAGTGCAGTCGTGCTTGGGGCCCATCCCAATGTCATCACATGGCTGTGGTGACTAGTGTATACCTGGGAGAATTTTCCTCAACTGAGACGGAGTGTAGATGGATGGATTATGAGAAATGCGAAGATGTGGAGTAAGTTGTGTCGAAGAAATGTGTAATAAAATAAAATTTACTTTACACTCAAACATACACTGTACATGTACATGTAACATCATGATAATGATTCCATCTTCATTTATCTCCGCAACAGGTACGCCATACGCACCGAATACATGGTGTGTGTGCACGTGCGCGCTTGCGTGCGCGCGTACATGCACACACTCTCATGCGTGGCCGAGTTGGCCGGATGAACAGACCACGCATTTGCACGAGGTGTCCGTCATGTCATTGGAGTGCTGTACTTTATGACTCGGGCGTAGAAGGGGTTTTGGAAGTGGTACGACCGAAGGTCGGTGCGGCGGAAGGCCATGTTGGAGGGGGTCCGCCCCCCCCCCCGGGAAAATTTTGTAAAAGACACAAAATCCTGCGTTCTGGGAACTTCTGGCACACTTCTGGCGCAGTGTGCAGTCGAGTCGAGTACAGTACTCAGTACGACTGCAGATGCATAACAGATCTACAAGTACGAGTCTAGAAAAAGGTCTGATGCGCATATGCAAATATCGATGGATCCTGATTTTTTATTACGGTTTGGCACGTTCCAGACGGACCACACTTTTCGAAAAGTGGTGCGGCCATGGTCGTTCCAGTCGTAGCGGGTGCTACGCCCCTGTGACTTTATTCCAAAATAGTATGTCGTGCCCCTGTCAAATGGAGTTTGTGTCTATGCTCAGCGGGTATCGGGCCATGACGCCACACTGCAGTCAGCGCTGGAATTAAACACTTCATGGATTATTTTAACTAATTTCCTTTGCGTTTACTTTGTTGAGCCCGTGGTTTCATTTCTGTGTTCTGTTATGATTGGCCTCTGGAAATAATCGGAGTGGATGTCATTTTTTGTCATAATGTGTGTGCCTTGTGCAACAGGTTCAAGGCTAGATGCACTTCACATTCGGCGTGGGATCTCGGCGTCTGGGACCTGATAACGTCTTGGTTGGATGGGTGATCAAGGATGATACTACTCGGCACACCAATGTACATGTCAATGTAGTTTTTACTTTTTCAGAGCTGCACTATTTACGTCTTGATGCTTACTTCGATGCTAGTGTCGTGTCCGTGTGTTGCTACAATGTCATTATCTGTATTGTATTCCGTCTGCTTATACATGTGTCTTTATGAAGTGTTTGCCTTGGCGGCGATGTGTCTTGTCGATCAATAGTGTTGTGAAACCTATCACTATTTATGCTTTGCTGGCTACTCGCTCGCTCCGCGCCGTGCACGCTACTAGGTCTTGTAGTATATAGCTCGATGCTTTGCATCGATCGCTGGTTGTTGTTGTTCTTGTTGCTTCTCTGTTGTTTGAGCTTAGTCCTAGAGTGAAGCTTTGGTCTTCTTGTGTGGTGAGGGTGAGGAATGGGTATCTGGACTTCTGGTATATTTCCGTAAAGAACCTGGAATTGTAGAATCCTGAGAGTATGTCTGGCCCACTCCCCGGTCATGACATTAGCGTGTTTCCCCCGGATTATTTCTATCATCCTGCGTGTTCTTGGGCTGAGTGAGCACATGCACGAGTGTGCAGCTATAACCCTGTGTATCTTTGGTTACACTTTGTTCTGCAATGCATGTACCTTGTAACAGTCTGTGCTTGCACTGCTTTGTGTGGCCTGCGTATTTCAGGACTATTCAGTGCATCAGACCCAGGTTGGTTTGGTTGCCGGATGATCTCTTGTTGCGTCGCTCTGTGTTTTGTATTAGGGTTAGGGTTAGGGTTAGGGTTAGGGTTAGGGTTAGGGTTAGGGTTAGGGTTAGGGTTACGGTTACGGTTACGGTTACGGTTAGGGTTAGGGTTAGGGTTAGGGTTAGGGTTAGGGTTAGGGTTAGGGTTAGGGTTAGGGTTAGGGTTAGGGTTAGGGTTAGGGTTAGGGTTAGGGTTAGGGTTAGGGTTAGGGTTAGGGTTAGGGTTAGGGTTAGGGTTAGGGTTAGGGTTAGGGTTAGGGTTAGGGTTAGGGTTAGGGTTAGGGTTAGAGTTAGGGTTAGGGTTAGGGTTAGGGTTAGGGTTAGGGTTAGGGTTAGGGTTAGGGTTAGGGTTAGGGTTAGGGTTAGGGTTAGGGTTAGGGTTAGGGTTAGGGTTAGGGTTAGGGTTAGGGTTAGGGTTAGGGTTAGGGTTAGGGTTAGGGTTAGGGTTAGGGTTAGGGTTAGGGTTAGGGTTAGGGTTAGGGTTAGGGTTAGGGTTAGGTTTAGGGTTAGGGTTAGGGTTGGGCTTGAGAATTGAGCTGGTGTGTGGTTCCCAATATGAAAACATCATGCTGGTGCTCTGTGTTTCGATTATCGACTGTCCGAGCAGTCACGATTCATTACCAGAATGGTCAATACTGTAGTCTCTTCACGTGTTTGTGTTTTCGCCGGGGGAATTAGCGGTGCCGTTGCACATAGAACGGCAGTGTTGCATCACTGGACGACCCTGCCTCTGCATCTGACTTCATTTCCCCAGGATCTGGTGCAGATACACCAGACAGTCACTTCCTGTAAACACGCAAACAGCAAAAGAAGAGATCCCGCAAATCAGGAAAAACCATTGCGGAAAATATCGAGTAGATCATACACCATTCAATAATCTGGAGTAATTACAGTGAGACTAACACTTCAAACAGTGCTCTCTCTCTCTCCATCCTTCCAAAATACCCTGTAACAATTCCCTGGAATTACTTTATTTTTATATTCTCAGGACATAATTCTGAACAACTTCTTCCATGGGTCTTCAATCACCACGGAGGGCGAGAATACAGCTAAGTCATGCAGTCTACGAGAGGTGCGGGCTGTCATGGATATAGAGGCTGATATTGTGCCAGCGTGAGGGCAGAGACAGAAAGAAGACACTGATTTCTTGAACAACTCACCTACATATAATCGAATCCACAGGGAGCGCTCGTACTTTGATCCATCAGGAGGCGAAGAATCTTCAAAGCACTCTCAAACACGGAGTTTTACAGTGGGCAGCCAATTTCACAGCCATTATGAAGGCCCTCGACGACTACAGGAGATTTGTAGAGGAAAGAACAAGGAGTAAAGAGCGACAACAATCGCTTGACGAAAAAGCAAAGAAAAACTGCTCTCTCTCCAGTCATTTAGATGCTGTTGCCCTTCACAACTGGTTCCATCCAGAGGACGCGACTTTTGTTTGTCCCCAGTGCTCTCCGTTGCTATGCGTATCGAAGGGGCCGTGACGTCACACTTAACAGCCCCATTATATTATTAATTTGTCTTTCCCTCAAACCAGTTAATATTAATTTGTCAATTAATCTTTCTGGGCAGCTGGACAAAACAGTCAACACTCAACAGTTGAAACTGGGGCCACGAACCTCGGGGCGCTTCATAGTTGGAAAGGCTTTCTGTCTAAAGCCTTTCCATACTGGTGCTCGATGTTTTCAGTTTGGGGACACCAAAATTAGTGTACCGCTAAAGACACGTGGTCGACACGTTGTTGACACGTTGTTGACACTTTGTTGACACGTGACCCAATAACCGGCCTACCAAGGGCCTTTGGGGACCGCTAACAGCAACTGTGGAACAGTGCAGTGCCCTTTTTTGGAGCAACGTACGAGTAGTGCCCGTGGAATATGACCCCGCGACCCCAATCTACGTGGCGATCCGCAATTCGCTACTTCATACTGACTGGCGTCCGGCATCGTCCCGAATTTGGCCGCAATCTGCTCTCGGGACCCTGTAGGGCTCCCTGACCTGCTCCATCTCCGCCATCGTCAATGTACTGCGCATCCACCCAGGCCAGGACTGCACTTACTTACGGGAAGGAGTATTTGCAAGATGGAACCTGGGAACTGGAAGACGACGAAGAAGAAGCGTGGTAATCCGGCAGCAATGGCTGGGATGTAAGTCCAACATTGCTGGTGCTAGAGTTGCCACTGCTTGCTTATAAGGGAATCATGTGTGTTGCCCTTTTTTGCCTTTTCCGACGTCCTCCTCCGACTGTACTCCCAGGACTGAACTTACGGGAAGGAGTGCTTCCAAGATGGGAGACGAAGAAGAAGAAACCGCTGAATCCGGCGGCAATGGCTGGGATGTAAGTCCAACAATAAACATTGCTGGTGCTAGAATCGCCACTGCTTGTTTATAAGGGATTCATGTGTGTTGCCCTTTTTTGCCTTCTCCCATGTTCTCTTCCGACTGTACTGGTGAACGCTGTCACATATGTTGCCCTTTTCAGGCAGTAGAAGGGAGGGGCGGAGGGCAGCACATCTATCCTGGCATGCAGGAATGCTGGGTGGAACTGGGCAATCTGACCTTTCCTCTTACTCCAATGATGGTATGGATGGGGAGTTCTTGAACGTCCTCAGTCTTGTTAGAGTGAACTGTGCAAATCGGCAATCGATGATAGCAGAGGACCAATGCCGATGGCGATGCTCCTTCCTTTTTCTCTGTCACAGGCTGCGTTCTCGAGAAGAAGCGTTATTTCTGCATTCCAAGAAGGACGGCACAATGGTGAGTGGAACTTCGTGGGCGTGCAGCCTTGCTAGTTGATTTGTAAATCAACCATTCTTCCTGTCTCTGACTTCTTCAATGTCCTCCTCAGTGTCGGACTGTCCGCGTCGCATTGAACTGGTCCGATGAGGCTGCTATTGCACACACAGTGAGGGAACTCCCATACGGGAACTCGGAAGTACTGCTACAGTGCAGGTAAGGTGGCCGTTGCTTATGTGCGTGCGCCGTTGTTGTCAACTTGTTCAGTTTCACAATGCATTGCACCAAGAGTACATAACCCCGGGGGTTATGTACTCTTGATTGCACTCAGCACCGCTTCTCGGAATATCTTGTCAGGATAGCTGTGGAACGCATCCTCCCCAGTGGAGGAACGGCAAATGTGCTGTTCATTTTAGGCTTGCTTTTATGGTACGTACAAATCCCCATTGAAAAGACATAGTGGAGACGAGAAACTGCAAATAGATGTTGGGAACCGCGAAGACCACCCTTCCTTGCCAAGTTCCCTGAGGGTGTGGAGGGGGGGGGGGGAGGAGAGTGGAGGAGGGACATTTAAAGCAGGATTCACAGGAGCATTTTCAGAAATTGCTTATACATTTTTACCAGTTGTAGCCGACAAACGCATTCTCATTGAGCTTTGACTTGAGGCACGTCAGCAAGGCGCTGTTGCATCGCTTACGTCTTGTCGTGATTCTGTGAATGGTATTTTGTGCGAGTTTGCATCGCACGCAGAATCACAGGTCATGCCGCATTGTGCAGCACACTGCCAAATTGCTTCTGTGACTCCCACGTGAATGGGAATTCCAATGGGAATGTAATCCATTGCCAACAGGTGTATTCGCGAGCTGCGCATCATACTGCAAAATTGCTCCTGTGCATGCAAGTGGATTTCATTGCTCTTTTCAGTTTAGGAAATTCTCGATTATGATAATTCTGCGTGTGTGTGTGTGTGTGTGTGTGTGTGTGTGTGTGTGTGTGTGTGTGTGTGTGTGTGTACACCAGCCCTGAACATACATGTAGGTGACCCGTTTGTGGTGTCTCATAGCCTACCTCACAACCTTTTGCTTTCTTTCTGCATCACTTGTATCTTGCAGGTATATCATCCCATGACGACTACATCGAAGTCTGAATTTGAAGTGTGAAGATGCTTCAGCAACCCCTTCATTTTTTCCATTGCTTTTATTGCGCTGCTACTGTGCATGTGTGTAACTTGTGGGGTATGCATGTGATGACAATGTATGCCGGTGACACGGTCAGATTTTGTCCATGCGTGTAACGTACACCTGCATGCTATCGTTGAAAAGGATCTGTCACTTACAATCTTCGGACGAGTATCAGGTCAGCTTGGTTTTGTGTGGGCTGTACCAGATGCTGTTCACTTCTCTATCTGTTGGATATGTGACTTTCTGCAAGTTTCTGGTGTATGGTGGCCACTTCTTTGCTTGTCTTTGTATGACATTACAATCATTCTGCACTCACTGCTTCCATGGTGTGGTCTGCAAACTGCAATCCTTAGGCAAATATCATCACGGTTTGCAATGTTGTGCTTTGGCTGCCAGCTTACCTTTATTTTGTTTCACAACTGACTTCCTGAAGTATGCTGGCCACTGCTTGGCATGGCATTATACAATGTTCATCAAGAATTTTCCTGTTTGGGCCGTGTGTGTGTGTGTGTGTGTGTGTGTGTGTGTGTATGTGTCACTGTGTGTGTATGTGTGTGCGTGCCCATGTGTGTGTGCCATGTGCATGTGCTTGTTTGTCACAATGTGTCTGTGTGCGGGGTAGCGAGGTGGGAAGGGCTGGAATGTATCCGTGTGCTACTGCAATCGCAGGGCTACATACAGTGCATCGCGCGCATGCTCACCATGTTTATCTTCGGAGCTGGGCCGGGGTGGGGGAGGGAACAGAAAAAGAACTGAAATTACCCATATAAAAACCGCTCTGTGCGAGGTTCTGAAAAACCTCTACTGGTGCAGCCCCGTCGTAAAAGTAAGAAATTAGGACTGGTGCATTGTCCTCCCAAATGTGAACTGATCCACCTAAATCGCGATTGACGGGACCCGAACACACCAGTAGCACGAGGTCGGGAGGGCACAGGATTACAGCAATGGACCGGCGCCGATCAGGTTACCATAATACACTTACAGTACCCCGAAGCCCACCTTTGGCTTTGGCTATTTTGGACCAGCGTCCCCAGCTGCCTCCACAGGTAGGAACCTCGTGCTACTGGTGCGTTCGGGTCCCGTCAATCGCGATTTAGGTGGATCAGTTCACATTTGGGAGGACAATGCACCAGTACTGCAGTCCTAATTTCTTACTTTTACGACGGGGCTGCACCAGTAGAGGTTTTTCAGAACCGCTCACAGAGCGGTTTTTATATGGGTAATGATACCTATGAAGCGCCCCCATGAACGGTTCGTGCTGGGGGGCTCTAAACGGCGCAACAACGGCCTTATCTGGCCGCTGCGCACGCATTACGAGCCAATGAAAAGGACGAGTATACTGGAGGAGAGCCTTTGGGGTGCCCCACATTACTCAAAGATTATTGGGGAAATGACCCCTGGCTGACAAAAGTGATCCCAGAACCCCACAGATGACCCGCAACCTCACCTCATCTTCGCACAAAACGGGTTGGCGTTGGAGGCGTATCGAAAAAGACGTCTTTTGCCACCCACGCACACACGTCTGAGCTTTGCATTTTTAATTTTAGCTTTAGTTTAATATTTAACTAACGGAGTAATGACGGTTCTACCAAGGTTTTAGAAAGTGCAAGAAAGGGTCTGCGAAGACCCTCGCTAAACTAGTCCAGAGATCTGATCAGCCCATACGCTTTGTGAAGAGTGGATATTCCGAAGTCAACAGATAGGGTACCATGTCAATACACACATCTCGTAGTCAGCGACAAGTACCTTCAACTGCCCGTTTGACACGCGATGTAAAACAAATGAACGCCAACAACAATATCTCCTTGCTCCAAAAAATTGTAACTCAATGCGAATCACTGCTCTACTCTGTCCTGAAGAAGAAAGGGCTACACTACGGCCTACACTCATGGCCTGAACTGAAGAGAGAAAGCATTATGCAGGTGCTAATATTAAAATATTTTGCCAATTAATGCTCCCGTATTAAAGAAGACCATAGGTCTGTGGGAAACACCCTAGTAAAATAAATAAAATAATAATAATAATTTCAAAATTTTGAAGGACGCTTCACGCAGCTTCATTATACTTGAATTGTTTGCAGGCAACCTGCCTACACTCAAGAGAGCACTGCATTTCACACAAATCCATTGGTATCGTTACATAAACGATAGCAATGGATGTGTGTGAAATGCAGTGCTCTCTTGAGTGTAGGCAGGTTGCCTGCAAACAATTCAAGAATAATAATAATAATAAATAATCTTTCTGGGCAGCTGGACGAAACATTCAACAGTTGAAACTGGGGCAACGCTTCGTATCACCATAAAGCCCCCCTCCCCCCCCCCCATGCATGGTTCATGCTGTGGGCTCTGAACGGCGCAACAACGGCCTTATCTGGCCGCTGCGCACGCATTACGAGCCAATAAAAAGGACGAGGACACTTGAGGAGAGCCTGTGGGGTGCCCCACAATACTCAAAGATTACGGGGGAAATGACCCCTGGCTGACAAAAGAGGTCCCGGAACCCCACAGATGACCCGAGACCTCACCTCATCTACGCACAAAACGTTTTGGCGTAGGAGGAGCATCGAAAAAGACGTCGTTGGCTGTATTCCACGTCTTTTGCAAGCGGCCACACAGGCACACAGCAATCACTTCACACTTTGAAGCCGCCCTGTACTGTCTAGAGAAGTTAGTTGTCTTCCATTTCAATACCACCAGATCAAACGGCATTGTGTGGCGGTATTATTGTGACCCGCGGGACTAGCCAGCCGAGAGACACCGGTGAGTTTCGATTACGCTTGTTCTTTCTATGCTGCATTACCAGTAAGCGGTTCCTGGCTGTGTCACTCTGTGCTTGATTTCGACTGGCGCAACTTGTTTTCAACAGCACATGTAGAAGTTTTGCCGGAAATATATAGGTCTGTCACTAGTCTCCAAGTGATGGCTTCAGTGAGTTTGGAAAACTGTCTATTGCAGCAAGGAAGCGAAATAAGTGTGTCGACTTGTAGAGACGTGCGTGGAACTAGAAAACAAACTGCACTCTTTCACAAGGCGATGTAACTTAGAAATAGGAAATAAAACATGATTGCCAGTACTTAGAGGTTTGCACCTTTGCTCAGCTGCTGCTCTTAAACAATCTTCTACAGACGAGCTGTCAGACACCGGACGACGAGGCTCAAAAGACGACAGATTAGGGGAGGATAACTATTGGAAATGCAGCGGAAGACCGGAATGGTTATGATAACTGAAGTATATAGTGTCTGTCACAGCATTGGTTCTCTCTGTATTGTCCCCTCTCTCTCTCTCATCTGACTTATAATTATTTGCGCATGCTCGATGCGAACAATTCAGTCCTTTTCTTCTCCCGCACATGGACCCATGCGTAGCTAGCAGTCCCATCACAATTGTGGTGGCAGTGATTGGATTCGAATCCATGCCTTCTGTGAGACTGGAGCCCATGCTGTGACAAGCACTATTATAATGTGTATTGCAATGATGATTCAAGCTGTGTGGTTTTCAACAAATGTATTGCCTACAAATGCACTGACAGCACTGACATCATACGGGTTGACTCAATAGGTGAAAGGCACAACATTCTGGTCCACGTGCCAAGGTCACTTGTATCATGATGGAAAGGTGACAAAACGCTGAACAGTAGAAAATAAAATGTGATTGAAGAGACCAAAAGGTGCAAAACTCTAAATATCTGTTCTTCAACTGATGGACCAGAGCAGGGTTAATGTGATTTCTTATCACTCTCTTAGTATTCATCACATCATCATCACAAGCCCATAGCCCTAAGGCTGCCGGGCGTCACAGAGCAAGTTTGAACAAGCGAACATCTTGTAGACACCTGCCATGCCCTAACAGTCTGTATATTTATGGGCAATACGTATTGCATGGCAATACAGCACGAGTACTAGCAAAGCGAGGCACTCTGGCAATACCACTCTCCATAATGCATGTACTGTGGGGAGTATAAGCCGCACACTAGTATCTTGACAGATATCCACCCTGTTCATCACATTCAATTTGAACATTGACTTTTTTGGGTGAATATCCAGTGTTAAATGTCAGGCTCATACCCTGGAAACTACGGAACTCACTAGCAGATATGATGCAATCACTCCCAGATGATGAAATAATCACACCACTATGATGAAGTAATCACTCCCATATAATGAAGTAATCACTCCCATATAATGAAGTAATCACTCCCATATAATGAAGTAATCACTCCCATATAATGAAGTAATCACTCCCATGTGATGAAATAATCACTCCCATATAATGAAGTAATCACTCCCATATAATGAAGTAATCACTCCCATATGATGAAGTAATCACTCCCATTATGATGAAATAATAGAGAGGCTCTGCATAACGAATTTCGTCTCTGCTGATGAGGAAAAATGTGACGAAGTTTGAGGCGCGAAAATCCAAACGCCGGTAGGGTCTGCAGTACGAAACTTTGCTGCGCTATTTTTGCTGCTTTTTCAATGCTGCTTTCCTACGGATTTTTTTCTGACTTGTGTTTCCGGAGCAAAATCACCTGGTTCAGTCGTGAAGTGTTGTCCGTGGCGTGGGTGTGGGAGATGTCGGTGGATATAGGAGATGATGACGGGGAGTTGTTGTGTTGTTTCCTACTACTGGAATACGATGACGGAGACCTCGAGCAGGATGAATTGTTGTTTCTGGTCACCAGAATTGGCGCTTGCACAACGGGAGTCGGCGGATCCACACCATCATCTTCCCTCACCATACGCCGTCCAAGTGCTTCCATCGTAAGCTGAAGTACCACACTGAACGATGTGCCACGGAGATAGAAACTAAAATCGACTCAGATCAAAGCAAGACTGTACGTAGTACGTAGAAAAGGTGTCCGCAGTGAAGCAAAAGAGCAACGAAAAATTTGTTCGCTCAACACCCGAGTTTCACGCCCACTTCGACGAATATTTGTCCACTTTTTCGCCGCGCGCTCATGGTGACGAAAAAAATGCAACGAAATTCGTTATGCAGAACCTCTCTAATCACTTCCAGATGATGTTTCTTTCACAACCAAGCGAAGTTGCATTCACTCGCGGCTGGTGACGGAATACGATACTATCTTCGTAAGTGTGTGTATGTATATGTGTGTGTGTGTGTGTGTGTATGTGTGCGTGCTTGCACGCGTTTGTATGTGTGTGTATGTGTGCGGGTGCTTCTTTGTGTCTCTTTGTTTTATGCGTTGGTCTGTGTATTTGTTTGTGCATTGACGTGTGTTCGCTTTGTGTGTTCGCTTTTGATTGCCTGTGTGTGTGTGTGTGTGTGTGTGTGTGTGTGTGTGTGTGTGTGGATGTGTTTGTTTGTGTGTGTGTGTTTGTGTGTGTGTGTGGATGTATGTGATTGTGTGTGTGTGTTTTATAGTTTACTTGATATGGCTGTAAACCGTGTCCTCTCCAAGCGGCCAGGATTTCGCTCTCAGACGGACACAGGCCCTAGAACCATGGCCCCTTTCGGCATATTTTCAGGTTGGTGAAACTGCATTTGTATTACTGTTTTTCGATTTTGACAGCATGTTACAAGGCGAGGACGCGTAGTGCTCCTGACTACAACCATAAACCGGTTGGCAGAGTCCCGGTCTTGCGACCATTTGAACCGTATTGGGAAAACCCAGGTTCGGACCCTCGTTACTCTACGGGTTGGTAGGATTTTTATAATTTTCGTTTTTTTGTGTTGTAGAAGTCGTCGTGTTGCCGCCGTAGTATTGTTCACGTTGCTGCCGCTGCAGGGATCACGTCTGGAAGGATTTGTGATGTTATTTTCTTGTCTTCCTCTGTAATTAAATTATTTGTGATTTATTTCTTTTTCCTTTTTTTGTTCTTTTGTTCTTTTTCTTTTTTCTTGTCTTTTTTCAACTTCTGCCCATGGCGTCCTTCTCTCAGCTCGTCAGCTGTAACAGTCATAGTCATCACCATGACGACTGTTGTGAGAAGGTGCTCGCTGCCGACGAGGTTGGTGATGTCCCGACGAGGCCATGGGTAGGCCTTCACCACGTCGGAACACCCCGTCTGCACGTTGGTGTTGTGGTCTGGGTGTTGATGGACGTTGATGTTGTTGTAATAGTTGTTGTCGTTGTAATTGTCGTTGATTGTTGTTGTTGTTGTTGTTGTTGTTGTTGTTCTCCTTAGTGTGACACTAAGGAGAACAACAACAACAACAACAACAACAACAACAACAATCAACGACAATTACAACGACAACAACTATTACAACAACATCAACGTCCATCAACACCCAGACCACAACACCAACGTGCAGACGGGGTGTTCCGACGTGGTGAAGGCCTACCCATGGCCTCGTCGGGACATCACCAACCTCGTCGGCAGCGAGCACCTTCTCACAACAGTCGTCATGGTGATGACTATGACTGTTACAGCTGACGAGCTGAGAGAAGGACGCCATGGGCAGAAGTTGAAAAAAGACAAGAAAAAAGAAAAAGAACAAAAGAACAAAAAAAGAAAAAAGAAATAAATCACAAATAATTTAATTACAGAGGAAGACAAGAAAATAACATCACAAATCCTTCCAGACGTGATCCCTGCAGCGGCAGCAACGTGAACAATACTACGGCGGCAACACGACGACTTCTACAACACAAAAAAAACGAAAATTATAAAAATCCTACCAACCCGTAGAGTAACGAGGGTCCGAACCTGGGTTTTCCCAATACGGTTCAAATGGTCGCAAGACCGGGACTCTGCCAACCGGTTTATGGTTGTAGTCAGGAGCACTACGCGTCCTCGCCTTGTAACATGCTGTCAAAATCGAAAAACATGTTAACTACCAAGCAAGGCTTCTGTATATATTTTGTATTACTGTAGAACGGATAATTTTAGCAGGTAAAAACTTTGGCTTTTTCTCAGGATCCAAGTTTCTGTGTAAAAAGAAGAAGATTTGCGGGGCAAAACTTTTAACTCTGTCGCTGAAATGGGTAAATTTTCACCGGCGCTAATTTTGGAATAATCTACTTCAGCGAAATATTAATTATATTGCAGCCATTTCTATAATATTCTTGTCATGGGTAATATTTGGAGAGGGTTACGTACTTTGGTTGTCGAGCCCCCAGGGAGATCCCATGTTCCGAGCAAATATAATTATAGTTTATTTTATTTTTTCCCAGAGTCTGGAGATAAAACAAATATTCATTAGCATCACGGGCCACATGCCACGTACTGCTCTTTCCTCTCCGAAACTCAACACTTGCAAGCCAGATATACACAGGATAAGAGTGTTGCTGTAGCTCAGTTGGTTAGAGCATTGCTCGCTAATAGCAAGGTCCCTGGTTCGAGTCCGGTTAGGTGACTGATTTTTTTTCTTTCTTTCATATCTGGCTTGCAAGTGTTGAGTTTCGGAGAGAAAAGAGCAGTACGAGGCATGTGGCCTCCAATTCCCTAATGCTTTGAAATTCTCCGTGAAGTCCAAATTTAGAAATTGTAATTCATTAGCATCGTTACTATTTTATAATTTTAGCACACAGATAAATTTTGTTGTGTTGTATTTTCGTTTTTGACATTATCCTGGCTATATAATAGGGTGTTTTAGTGATTTTTACCATGTGACAATATTCCACTGATGATAGATTCTTTTTTATATAATAATTTTTTTAATACATGGGAATGAGTGCTCAATCAATTTTATTCATTGCTACTTTACGCCTTTTGTCTCCTCGTCGGTTATTTAAGCCAAGTTATGACTTCACTTTATCCAATCACCCTGTCTGTATTTCTTGTTGTCTTATTGGCTACAGGCCATCGTGAGAATAAAAGATTAAAAAAGATTGTTGCATGGTAATGTTCACAACACTAACAACAAAAACAAAAGAAAAACACAACAAAAACACATGGGAGCGTGTTATGAAGCAACTATCCATGACTGTAAGAGGGTTTTTTATTTCTTATTTTTTTAAACTTTGTTTTACTTCGCAAAATCCTACGGGAATTTCTTCCCAATGACAAGGTAGCGAAGAGGGAAGAGAGAGAGGTTAATGGACAGTGAGAAAGTGCGACAACAGAGTACTGAGACATTCAACGACCTGAAACCTAGCTCTAACACATCTCTAGTCCAGTTACTTCATAACTCCTACCCATGTGTTTATCTTCTATTCTCCATTTACTAGCGGCTCAGCATTCGAGTGAAACATTTTTTTTAATTCCCAGGGACGGCTTACACCAGTTCACCTGACTTGATTCGCTCATAGGCCACTTGTCGAAGCTCAAATAAGCATTGCAGTTCACACATCGTCAAGTAATTAGCTCGGCGGTTTGGTTTGCATGAACATTGTCAGATTGATACTATTCCGTTAATTGTCATGCAGACCGAAATATTGAATAATTACTTTATGATGTCTGACCTGCAGTGCTTTTTCAGTGAAGACAAGATATTTTTTCACAAAACTGTGGAAAACAATTGATGCTGACATAACAAGGCCGTCACAGCCCGGGCTGGGGCGGCTGGGGCCGACCCACTTTTTTGGCCTTTTTTTTTGGAGCACACTGCAACAAAGCGCGATGATCGCAGCTAGCTAAGCACAAACATGGCAAATCCTTGTCCCCGATCGTGGTTTGTTGCAGAATCAAAAAGTCTTTCATTGCAGTTACACTGAAATGGCACCAAATGCCTGGAAATGCTTGCAATTGGCTTCAATTTTTGAATTTTTTCCCGGGAAGGGTAGTGTTTGTCCCCGATTATAAGGTCTTTTTTAATCTTGGTTTGTTGCAGAATCAAAACGTTTTTTTCATTGTAGTTACCGTACACTGACATGTACATGGCACCAAATGCCCGGAAATGCTTGCAATTGGCTTCATTTTTTGAAATTTTTCACGAGGAGGGCCCCGGACCCCCTTCCATGGCCGCCCCACCTCCAAAGTCGGTGCGACGGGCCTGTCATAATACCATGATGAACTAACTTGTTACATAAAAGAGAGAAGAAAACACGTGAGAACGAGTTATGCAGCAGATATCCACGACTTTACAAGATGATAAAGAGTCAGAACATGTGATAATTGGGCACAACACTGACAGGCTACTGAGACATTCAGCGACCCGAGACTTAGGTCTAGTTCTCATGTGTTTTCTTCTCTTTTCTACATGTATTATTGGCTCAGTATCCGAGTTCAAATAACTTATTATGGATAACTAATGTTTCTGAACTCCTACTCACATCTGTTATCTCTTTACAATAATTATTATTTAGAAAGGAAGTATCAAAATGTTGAATGTTATCCATAGTTTTTGTCCAAAACTACCAGTTACTTCCTCCGCGTCATCGAAATTGTCGCCAGCAGTCGTACCACAGGCAAGGAATCGGACATGGGCGATAGTCATCAGTATAGGGTGGCGGCCAAGTTCTATTTTCTGTTGTTGGAAGCTGAAATTTTTGAACTAGATGCAATTTCTTCGGTGATGTCGCTGCGATGGTACTTTCAACTCGCTGAGATCAGTCAGGCGTTGCAGCCTTCACACTTCTTGCGCTTATAGTCATTCACTCAAAAACTCATCACTGTTTTACCTGCCACTGCAGAGCCCAGACCTGAGCGTGGATGATCTCGCCTTTCCAGCAGCCTCCATGATGTGTCCTTGTTCACAAAAGAGAAGGCGAGATCCGATCGCTGTAGTCGGGAAGTGCTGGTGCGGCCATGATATCTCTCTGAGGAAATTTGAAATGTTTGGTGTTGCCTGTGTTTGTTGTTCCGGGGCATCCTCGAGCAAGAGCGGAGGCGGTTATTTGGAACGGTTTCAGCGGATATGAGTCGAGCGATTGCGACCCAGATTAAGACTCTAGTCCCACTAATCGATCCTATACATATTGTAGATATGTCGATTGAATGTGTTGAAGTGTTTCTCTTCCAAAATAACCCATTCATTGAGCACAGTAACTACTTGCAAAGTCTTGTCAAAAAGTCACGAAGTTTTTGTTTCCGGAGGAAGTACGGAAAACATGTATCATGTTGGCCCTCTCTTAGCTTTTCACCGTAGTCTTACATTACATTGTAGTTCATCACTAATTCATCATGGCAATTACTATTATGTCAGCATCAGTGCTTTTTAAAGAGATTTGTAGAAACTTCTTTCTCCGACCTAGGAAGTAGGCAGCAGCACTCGAGAATTCCTGCTCTGAAACGGCTTCAATTTGTGTGCAGAATAATTGTTTATGAGTGATACATGAAATATTTTTGTTTACGAGGGATACATCGAATAGTAATTATGAGGGATACGTCTGGTTTCCGCAAAACCATCGAGTACCATCAAGTCGGCTGAATAGCGCGAACTCCGGTGTGGGGAGCAAACCCTTTCTTACCATATTTTCCAAGGAGTATAGGCCACACTTTGAACCCTCAAAATTCAACCCCAAAAGGGGGGTGCGGCTTATACCCTGATGATCACATTATGGTGGCTGGGGTGGTTTTTAAGGTAATTTTGGCTACATTTGGACTGCATTTTTGAGTTTACTGGCAAAAGGAGATGAAATTTGAAAATTGAGAAGAAATTTGGAAATTTTTTTGAAAATTGAAAATGTTTTTTCGGTGAATCTCTGGAGAATAGCCTTCCCTAGCTTCCTATAGTTTTCTTTTTTCTTTCGGACAAAATTTGAAAAAAGGTTTATGAAAGGTCCGTGTTATTTTTCCACAGACCTTTCATAAACCTTTTTCAAATTAAGTCCGAAAGAAAAAAGAAAACCATAGGAAGCTAGAGAAGTCTATTCTCCAGAGATTCACCGAAAAACATTTTCAATTTTCATCTCCACCTTGCGGGTAAACTCAAAATTTCCCGAAAAAGTACCACCGCCCGGCCACCTTAACCCTTTGCAGGTCTACCATAAGCGAAACGATACTAGTATCGGTACGTTTTGCCCTCATTTTTTTGGGGTCTTGTTGCTAGACGGCCACCACGGCATTGTTACGAGTGTAATGTATAGTGGTGTCATCTGCTTACTGTGAGAAGGGCTAGGGGCAGATAATTATGAAGGGGAGATGCTGGCTGCTCTCACCTGTGTCATCGCAATCAGTTGGAGAGAGACTGTAGTTGGTAACTGGAACTATCCGGCAGCACTGATACTAGTAAACTATAAGGCAATGCATTCACCACGGTGAACCGTGGCAAGGCACTCGATCGAATGGCCTCCTCGAGTACTCAAACCTCGATGATTAAAGTCTGTATTGTTCGAATAATAACATTTCCATCGGGTGGCGCAGGGATGGACTCGTATGGAGAGCCAATGATTAATTTCATTGGCATATGTTCACGGAGCACCGCGGCCACACATATACACCCACTGTTGAAGTTTGATTTCACGGTGGTTAAAATATGTGTTACTCTCTTCTCGCAAAATTAGAAGACATTAATACTTTGCCAACATTAGGCAGTTTACAGTAACTAGTGGTGTTAATGGACATTAAAGCGTTACTTGTAGTTCCTTGGTCGCTTTCTCGTAGTTTCTTGGTAAATTTCTTCGCTATAAATAACATTTCCGTGCATTTTCTATTGTGTATGCTTATCCTTGCAGGATTTGCCTTGCTCTTAGCACTGTTGATTCTCAGCTGTGTGCCGCATTGTTATGCAGTGGGTGAGTGACAGGACACAGACTCTATCACGATCATTGTTTATTCTCCTGCAGAAGCAGCGCACACGCTGACAAGCACATACTTACACACATGCGCACACACACACACATACACACACGCACGCGCACGCACGCACACACACGCACACACACGCACACATGCACACGCCCCCCCCCCCCTCCCCTCCAATACACACACATGCACACACCTCAGACCTCAGACCTGCCCATCGCGGAAGCGATGATCGCGAACAGCTATGTTAGACATAGCAACTTGTGCTGGGATTACACCATTCAACAGTTTCCAAGGCTGAAACACATGCACACACGATTCAGAGTCACACACACACACACACACACACACACACACACACACACACACACACACACACACACACACACACACACACACACACACACACACACACACACACACACACACACACACACACACACACACACACACACACACACACACACACACACACACACACACACACACACACACACACACACACACACACACACACACACACACACACACACATACACAGAGAAAATGAATGGTTCTGTATTAGGGGTGAAAGTTGGCGCTGAGAACCCGAGTTCGAGTACTCTGATTTTCTCCCATCGAATATTCGAGTATTCGAGTATTCTTGATATCCTAAAAATCGCACACCAATGGCCTTAAAAATCACATGATACAACCCTGATTGAACCGATTGGCAGTCCTTTTCTCGGGTGTATTGGCTGGTGGGTCATTTGGGTTCTCTCTACTCGTGTACAAGTGCTCACCACACAGTCTGCACATCAATATCTGCTGACCGCTGCTCTGAAATGCAGACTTCGGTGGCAAATGCATGTACCATGTGTGAGCGAGAACTCTGATTTATTCCGAGTACGATTATATTTGAAAAATCCAAACGAGTATTCGAATATTCGGTATAATTGTTTCACCCCTAGCAATCACGTATAGTTGGTTTAAACAGTCCAAGATCATTCAGGACTGTATACTTCACATAGATATATTTTTCTCCAAATTTCCGAACTATTATTAGGCACTTCAGTCATGTGACATGGCCTAACAAAAAGTGCTAACGCCGAATCGCGTACATGCGTGGCACCAATGAAAGCCGCATGCATAGATCGATCTGTAGCTGCACGGAAGCTGCACAGGGCCTTCGCGCAGCGTGTAGTTGAGGCCCTCAGCTTTCGTTTGAGCCCACATACGCCATGATGCGGCAATTTTTTGGAACTCACGTACAGTTCGAGTAAAATCGGCAAGGATTTTTCGGGCATTTCACTTGGTTGCATGCATTTGCCACGTAGGTCATCGTCTTCAGCCTCTTATTTCCTTTCGGAACCAGTTGTCCTCGTTCGTCTGACACTTTGCGCATTGCTGCGCAAGAAGAAATAATGCGAAGTGTTATTGAAAGCGAGCCGCGGCAGGCGTCCTCCTGGCAGTAGTCCTTGTTCGTCGGAGCACATGCGCATGGCTGCACAAGAAGAAATATTGCCAAGTGTTATTGGAGTGGCATCGGAGCAGTCGTCCTCTTCTGCAGGCGATGAGTAGGACAGTATATACTTCGGCGACTGGACCAAGAGAGCTGACATCAAAACGGCCTGCTTGGAACAACAAATCGTCAGCTGATCAGCAGGTGGCTTCCAGCGACCAAGAAAAGCATTGACGGTGAGATTATATACCAAGAATCCAGCACACACTCTATGCACAAAATCTCTCATGCTGGAGTTCCTGAAGTTTCAGTAGTCCCAAAAATTTGCCGACGATGTTCTGCATGTAATAGTTTGTCATTTCTTTCCGTCAAATACCCGGTAAATTCGAGTTTGCTCAGTCTTCGGCTCATTGTTCTTCCGTACTCGTCACCACGTCAGTACCAGACGACCTGAAGTCCTGCACTACTATCGCAGATTTCCGCGTCAAATTGGCTTTTGGCTAAAAGACAGCTTAACTCTTAATCATTGTTGTGATTTGCTTTCAAGCAATGTTCATAATCAGTAAATTGATGTTACTGTCTTTGTTTTGTTTTTTGGTTTCCCGTTCTCGGGGCCTTCTATTCGGTACTCTTTGTAGTTGTATTTCTGTACTGTTGAGCTATCCGAATTCAAATAAACATTAAAAAAAAAGAAAAAAAAGTACTGTACAGGTAACAACAATGTGTTCTGGCACTGAATTATTGTAGTTACTTTATCTTACCTCAAAGTCTCATTTTATGCTTTTCCAAAGGCTTCTCTGCACTGTTTTCATGCTGTTGCGATGGAGTTGCTATGCTGTTGCAATGGAGTTGCCATGGTGACCACACCCAATATCTTCGTCTGAGCTGCCGGACGGGTGAAAAATGCGTTTTTCCAAAACAAAAAAATTTTCCAAACCATGCTGTTTCTGTATTCATCTGGTTATTTTGACCTGCTTCCAGCGAGCCTGGTATTTTGCCACTACAGAAACTGAAGCAAGTCCTGCCAGTTTCTGATATGCTGCTGGTGCCGTCGAAATACTGAAATTGCCGTTATTCAATTCTCCGACTTTGGGTGGCCATTCTCCGTGCCAAGTTATTCTTTTTGCTTCAAATTTTCTGTGGAGTCTTATTGAACCTATATGAGTCGGATACAAGAAAGAAACACGAGTAGTTCTGGTTTTGAAAAAAACGCCTCAAGTGCCAACCATTATACCGTAGAATCCCGCGGATAAGTTCTGGTTTTGAAAAAAACGCCTCAAGTGCCAACTATTATACCGTAGAATCCCGCGGATAAGCCCACCCGCGTATAAGCCCATGCCCGCGCATAAGCCCAGGGAAGGTTCGAACATCACAAGGCTTCGTCGTACAAGCCCATGGGCCTAAATTGTACCATGAGTCCATAAATTATGGACTCTTGGTCCTACCATGTACATGTACATGTATGATGATTGTACATGTACGTAGTACATGTTTAGGGTTTTTTTTTTATACATTTAAACATAATCATCGGTTGTTTTTGTTTGCACAGTGGCTTTCAGCAATGTACTTCTCACTTCCTTGGCACTTTTCAATAGCACAATGTTGGTGTCATCGTATAAGCCCATGCCCGCGTATAAGCCCATGTTCTCGTATAAGCCCACCGAAATGTCCTTGTGAAACAGATAAGCCCATGGTACATCACACTGCATTCGTTCTAGTGCTGAGTCAGGTAGCATTTTCTTCGTGTATCAGGTTCGGGTAGTTTTCCACCGGTAGGCCAGGTACCCAATTAGGTATTGTTTCCATGGTAACATGTACCCGATTAGGTATTGCTTCCAATGTAATACCACAATGCTGGTAGGTTCTGGAAAAGCAGCGGTGACCACTTGTCACTCCAAACGACAAGCTTCTCCTTGCGCCACCGACAATTTTTGGTGCGATCGTTGATGTCGATGTCGTTTAATTAAAGTCGTACAACAAACAGGCATATCTGCCTCTTTATATGAAGACGACTTCTGGCAGTAAAACATTTTAAAGAAAAGAGAAAGGAAAAAAAGTAGCTCAAAGGCCCGTGAAATGATGATGAAATCACACTTCTTCAAATAGCGAATGAAAATTGGTCGTTAAGACGTTAGACTTTGTGACTCGTTAGACTTTCTGGTTTTACAGTAGCTAGAATATAACCGGATGATCGTATTAATATGTGAAACTCAGAGTTGTAACAAAGCTTTCACTCTCTCTCTCTTGAGTAACCAGAATAAAATGAAAAGGAGCGTGAGAATGCAGCAGCACGGGGTTATGCCTAACACGTGTAGTGTTAACTTATGCAACGGTAGCGGTAGATGAATGTGGCAGCTGTGAGTGCTTGTGGGCAAAACTGGTGAGTGCATATTATTTGAAAAGTGTGAGTGCTACAACAATTCTTTTTGCTTGCATAGCACAGGATCACGTGTACGAATATAAACAGCTTCCAACACCTGAAACGTGCGCAACAAGTAACATTAAACCAGGAATCGTCAAACAACTTACGACAATCCGGACAGGACACCAAATGCTTGAAAATGGCAGACTTCTTCTTGTCGACTCCTCCTAGTCAGTATCCCTCTCGTGTTGGTTGGTTGGTTGGATTTATTTAAATAAATCCAACCAACCAACCAACCAACCAACCTCTCGTCCTCCACATTCTCATCCTCCTCATTGGCCACGTGCACTGTACATGATGTCATCTGCGACTTCTGGTTTTCGGGTGCTATTTTATACCTGTCTACCCAAAGTCCTCACAAGTAGCACGGGTACCCGACTACCCGTGCACACCCGTAATTCATTCGTGCTTGATGTTTGCTCCTTATTGGCTTGAAAAATGTGGATGCGTTATATGGTCAATATCCCAGGTTGAATATAGATTGTCTTGGTGCGATACAAGCCTGCTTTCTGTAGTTTTCTAAGTGGTAACCTTGGTTTATACCGCGAAATTGTCGCGTTGGAAATTTGATTTCCATATATGGAAGGAAGTAATGTGTGCTATGTGTAGTGGCTGAAGTTATACAAATACAATAGATGCTCTAACAGTTTTATCAACAATTATGATAATTACCACATATCAACTAACGAGGGTTTTGACGACCTGCCTAACAGCCTAGGTGTGAATTTAATTTACTTCTGCTTGCAAAGTTTGGGTTTCTTTTTGTAGATTGTATGCTTTGTGTTGATAAAATTGTTAGAGTATCTAGAGTATCTAGTGTGTTAGAGTATCTAGTGTAATTGTATCCGTTACTATTGCAAAGTAGAAACTTATTGTTGTTGCAGATCTCCAGGCCAGGGCCAGCATATTGACGATTCTGGATAGGCCTCTGCAGCATTTGATACCGTATTTCCGCGCATATAAAGCCATGGCGTTATAGGTGAAACATCGCTGTTTTGGACCATATTTTTGGTGAAAATAGCCTCGGTTTTAACGCCATGGCGCTAAAATTGAGAGACGCGTACATGCAAAAAAATCGGCAGAGTATGAACTTGGAGTACTCGCATGGTGCCGTTGCACAGTCATCTCGAGCATCCATGTACTTTCAATTTTCCCTGAAAATTTCAAATTGTGAACCTATTGGGTGGTGTACAAGGTGGCATACAAACTTGTGTGAAGGTGCGGTGGCGGCAAGGCATGTGACAGTGGGGATGGGTACATGCAGAGAGTATCGCCGCAACTGTAGGTTCACTGAAAGAATTGAACTCACCTTTAACGCCAGATTCAACTTCCTCCACATTGAATTTTGTTCACTTATAACGCCATGGCTTTATTAATGAGGGTGGCCTTATATTCGGATATAACGCCATTGTCTTATATGCGCGGAAATACGGTGGTAATTATGTCCAGTGGTTGTCTCTTGTTGTCGCACTACATGTCACGCTTATTGAGTCATAGCCAGCAATCGCATGTCATCACGTACATTGAAACTCAACATAATTTCGCGAATGGACCTTTTTTCAGGATCACTTTTCAACGATGACGGGGCAAAGTCGGCCGAACGAAGCCTAGAGGAAGAAAATCACCCTCTCCACTTCACCATCACAATACTGACATAGAAACGAGATGAAACAACTAAAAAATCCACAAGAAAACTGTACGGCCATCATCGCACTGACTTTGGTCTGACTTTGGTCTGACTTTGGTCTGAGAATTTCTATCACGATCAAAAATGTACGAGGAGCACTCAAAAATAAGCCACAGACGTACCTTTATCGCCTTCTACTCCTTTTTCAAGGCACAAAAGTCGACTCTCCACTTTCAGACCAGGAACTAGACATACCAGTGGTCCTTTTCAGCTGCTCCACGAGCGCAGGAAATGTTCACCAAGGGGCGCAGAGCAGCATCCATTCCAGAAAAATAGCGAAAATACGAGTGAGACTGCATGGCTGAGTACATGAGTACATGTATGAGTACATGCAGAAAATAGCCAATTTCAGCGTTTCTGCTCCAAACAGCAACTAGCTTCGACTAGAAAAAAAGATAACACCAAAGGATCAAAAAACAACCATTTTCTGCAGTTTTTTTGCAGATGGCTTCCTTATGCTTGGCCCAGCACGCCAAAAATCACACCTTGGAGGAGTACAAAAATTACAACTCTCAGATGTCCTCGATTGCTGGCCATGTTTCTCGCACTTGCATCTTTGTGTCATTATTGCTATGTGTATAGGTCACGCATTTTCGCTGTTTACTTATCTTCTTCTTTGCGCTGTTTTACCACCTCCTTACTTCACTGAATCCACTATTCCTGTTCCTGTTCCTTTGGTTGTATTTCACCTGACGAGAAGGCTTGAAAGTATACTTGTGAAAACTAACATTTTCAAGATGTTCGTAATGAGCCTCAAGTGTTTCCTTTGTATGTGTATTATCGCATTTTTGTCTCAGAGGAAATTGTTTAAATTATTTTATCAACATTTATGATATCGGCAATATGCTTGCCGTCGCCAGGAGATCTGCAACTACAATCAGTTTCTACTTTGCAATAATAATGGATTAGTATTCTTTGTCGGTACCAACGCATTCGTAACTCCGATTAGTTACTTCGCCTCTGCTTCACTTTTCTTTCTTTCTTTTTTCATGTGTTGAAATATGTTTAACTCATTGGATTTCTTTGTATTCTGTATCTCGTTATCGTTATCTTTTCCTCTAGCCCTCTCGCTTCGGATGAGCTTTTTTATGGCATCTTTTTTAAGTGAAGGCTATATACCTGCCTTATGCAGGTTGATGCCAGCGCGAACAAGCAAAATAATAATAATATATGGGCAACATTCTTTCTTCATATCCTCTTGGGGCGGAGCTTATTGTATTCCTTGGTATTTGATATTCAGAGATAGTAGTACATTCCAACGACTGAGCAAGTATCCAAATTTACATGAATATCCAAAATATTTGTGGGTCTTTAAAGTTGAACCCGTTTACCGCTGATCACGTTGGTGAAGAGACTTGTTCTGATTGTTTTGTACCATTTTCCTGCACTTGGTTTGCATTAATGCAGGTTGGCAGCATTGTGATAATGTGACTGATTTGGATTATTTGGTACTTCCATCTCCGAAGACCAAATCCCAAGCATCTCAGCAATGCCAGCGTTCCTCACAGGGAGCGGAAATTGCTGGGCCCCGGAATCAAGCTGAAAATGATTGCCTGCATAAGTTTTACCCCTTGACTGGAATCTGGTTGGGAATCTCTCTTGTAGCTAACAAATGGCAATCTTCTTCTGGAGAAGTAACTTGGACGAACTTTGCGCCCGGTGAACCTAACGGAGGTGATCCTTGTCTCCAAATGTGGAATGGCCGTTATCCTGGTAAATGGGATGACTTGCCTTGTGCAAGCACATTACATTTTATTTGTCAAAGAGGTAAGGGACTTTTCCTGTTTTAACTGTCAGCGTTTTTTTTTACAAATTTTACCCCAGCACCTTTTCAGACTCAGTCGTTTTCTCTCCTTCTGTGACACTTTGCTCAGTGCTAACCTGTCAATCAGCTGGCTCATGATCAGGACAAGAGCGTCAAAGTTTGCGGACAATTAGAACAGTTTATCAAAACAAGTTACTATGATACGAAGTAGTGGTTGCGACTTCGGCAATGATTTGTAAGAAAGGGTTTGCTCCCCACACTGAAGCTCGCGCTATTCCGCCGACTTTACTTGACACTTGACTGACTCACCACTGCCATCCAGAGCACACGAGAAGTCCATCGAACCTTTGACTAGGCAAACCTGCAAGAAAGCACCACTCCCTGCTCAATACACAGTGTTTCGCGGGAATTCGCCCCTCATCAGTTGAGCTTGAGTAGGCTGAGGAAGATTGTGCCTGAAGAGCACCACTTATATAGTGCTCTCCAGGCACAAACATCAGCAGGGATACAAACTTACAGAGACGCTCCGTTTCCAGCGCGAAAAACACCTCGTGAACACCAGATAGCAGGGTGAGTCAGTATCGCTCCTGGACGTTGAGAACAGACGTCAAGGACCCTCGGTCATTCACAACGCTGTCACCTCCAAACCAACTAGTCGCTAGCCCGCGCTAGCCCGCGCTGGACACAACAGTACGAAGTAGTGGTTGCGACTTCGGTGATCATGATTCGCCGAAGTCGCAAACACTACCTCACCAACATCCGGGATGGTCTGCGCTAACACAACCATCACAAGCAGCACCTGGACAGCGTCGATGTGACACAGCGACTTATCATACCGACGGAACCCCTCCGAGGTATCTTTACAATTCTTGAAGCCCTTGGAAATGAAGGCCGAGTCCTTCGATGGCGCTCTCAGTTTCCCTTGCTGATCAGCAACGGAACACAAATGGCTGGTCACAGAATCTGTCAACTCGTCGTAGTGCAACCATTTGAATTTATCGAACCAAGCTGGTTGAAACGGACGCTCGACAAATGGCTGGTCACAGAATCTGTCAACTCGTCGTAGTGCAACCATTTGAATTTATCGAACCAAGCTGGTTGAAACGGACGCTCGACAATCGATGTCCACCCGAAACTTTGCTTTGGAAACGCAAAATTCCGAGGCTGATGAGCCTCCATGGTGTCTGCACAAACAGCAATCAGAGAGGAAAAAGACTCACAACTACGAGAAGTATTTGGGAAATGCAGAACATAAAAGCAGTGGAACATTTCGAATTGCGTAAGAACTATTTCCTTTCTGTTGTTAGAAGGAGGAATACCAAACTCCGTTCCCCGGCAAAGTAATTCCTTTTGCACAGGGGATAGTTCGATGTTGTCCAGATTAATAATCGTGTCCATGTTGGGCTTAAAGGAGCCATACCGCTTTGCATGCAGCCATTTGATGTTTTTCTCGTACTTGGCGAGGAGTTTGACTTGCTGTTTGCTGTCATTCTCGGCCAGTAGTGTACTGAATCTGAGGTAGTCGTGATAGGAAAGGAACGAACGAGCCGAACTATACAGACGTTTAAATTGAGACTTAACAGAACATAATGTGTCACTAGAGCGCGCAATGTCGTCTTTGAGGAATACTCTTTCTATTGCTAATGAGTGATAAGCCCAACATGGACACGATTATTAATCTGGCCAACATCGAACTATCCCCTGTGCAAAAGGAATTACTTTGCCGGGGAACGGAGTTTGGTATTCCTCCTTCTAACAACAGAAAGGAAATAGTTCTTACGCAATTCGAAATGTTCCACAAAAAACTCATGAAGAATTTTACTTTCATGACTTCGTTGTAGTGTGGCGATGACTGCAGAGTTTGTTCTTTTTATTGGTATTATAAAATTGTTGTCTCCACGTCGATTATTTGCATAAAAGCAGTGAATCAACAAAATCGCTAGGCATGCAAGCGAAAAGCTTTTGTGGATGCGCACCCCACAGGTCAGGGGCCCCTACACATATCCGGTATGTGAACGGCCCCCATTCACTGTGTGCCGCACACATGTATGGACTACACCAGGGAGCCCTACACATACCCGCATATCCAGTATGTGTAGGACTCCCTGGTGTAGGCCATACACATATCCAGTATGTGTAGGACTCCCTGGTCTAGGCCATACACATATCCAGTATGTGTAGGACTCCCTAGGCCCTGGTCTAGGCCATACACATATCCAGTATGTGTAGGACTCCCTGGTGTAGGTCATACAGCTACACTAGGTAACCCTGCATGTATGTACACTTGCAGGACTTCCTGGTGCAGGCTAGGTAATCGTATAACCCACTGATGCATGCCAAGCATCCTTGCAGGGCCTTCAAAAAACGTGGTCGGGCGAAAAAGTGGTCTGGACAAAGCCGGACCGGCAATCATCTTGTGCAATAATTCTCGTTTGCTGTAGCTTCCAATGTTATCTCTAACTATTTACAAATCAGTACTCAGATGGTGAGGCAAGGAAAATAATAAAAGTGGAAACAAGGAAAACAGTGGGGCATAAGTTATGGGTTAGAGTCCACCAACTAAACCAGATTTTAAACAGTCAAATGTGCACAAGGCAGCGCCAGACTCACAAGGAGTACTGAGACATTCCACGGCAAAAAAAGGAATTATCACTCATACATTAACTTTCGTTTTTAGCGCTATCGACTAGTGCTCAAGCTCACTTCCTTTGCCGTGGAATGTCTCACTACTCCCTGTCAGTCTGGCTTTACCTTGTGCCCGTTTGACTGTTCACAATCTGGCCAGTTGGTGAACTCTAACGCATTTGACTTCAACTTGCACCAACTTTTCCTTTGTTACAATAAATTTTTATAATATACAAGTCACTAAGAAAACTGCTACGATTTCGATGCTGCGGCGGAAGTAGTGTACAGGAAGCTTGAACATTATTGTGTTGTCAATCTACGAATAATGCTCCTGGAGGAAAGATGTATTCCGCCATTGAATCCTGATGAGACTTTCCTAAATTTCCCTTTGTCTCCTTGCAGTTGCTGTGAAATGCAATGTTTCAGCACCAGTTTCTGGCAGCGTGAACGTTACCTCCATCCACATTGGTGAAAGTGTGCAGTATGAATGCAATACTGGGTATGAACTGGTGGGCCCAGCAATCGCTCAGTGCACTTCTCAAGGATCGCTGACTGAAATGCCTATTTGTCGAGGTTGGTCACACATATTCTATATTACAGCATGGCTTAGGACACATTGACTACTGTAAAGTGTGAAAGCCTTTGCTAGAGATTAACTCTTTTACCATTGCACGGGAATAGTGCTGCCACCTATCCACTACCGACGTATCCAGCTCAATTGTCGGGGAACAGTCCCGCAAGTCCATCGCTTGATTTAATCTGCGGTTGCTATGCCACTGAGTGGCAGAAGTGTGGAAAAAATGAAAACCAAGCGCCTCCGCTTGCAGGAAAACGTTGTGGCCGTGTGAAGCTGTGTAGCCGATGAGCGTCATAACTCTCGCAATGCTCTCTTCTATTGCCTGGCGATTGTTTGAAGGGAAAGTTCAGAGGTTTCTTTTCCTCCTACGTACTTTGACTGCAAGAATTAAGTAAGAATTAGCGGAGTTACAATTGGTTGAACATGTCCACCTTCTGAGTACCGGTGATTCTCAGCTGTGTGCCGCATTTCTATCAGGCGAAATTACTGGTCAGTCGGCGACAGGCATTTTTCACAAAAATTGCGTTGACCTGCTGGGAGAGAATGCGTGTACTCGAGTCTCATCCTGAGCAGGGTTTTTCTTCTTTTTTTCAGCTCCAGTATAGCTGTATTTTTCATTGCAAAGCCGTCCTCTATTGTTATGTTCGTTGCTCAAACATGAAGGCAGAGGACATAGGAGCCTGATTGGAGTTTCTCGTGGCATAGGACGGCCACACAGAGACACTTTGGGATTTTCTGAATATAAAATACCGTACGCACAATGCTGAGATCAATTTGTGCGATATCAAATTGTTTGTGATCTACCACAATGAGCAGAACGGGATCCAAACACAAGTTTACCGACGGTTAGGCTGCCGACCTGACTGGACAAATGATCCCTGGCTTCACCAGACGTCAGAAGTCGGACACCATTTCTCAGATGGAATCATTTTTTGTTGTAGCAGTTGCAGGGCAGATCCCCACCACTACTTCAACAGAAGATGGCTCCAAAGCATGCCTGGAACAAGCTATATCGAGGTTGCAAGCCACCCCTCTCAGCAAGAAATTTCAATGGTGGAAGATATACTATGAAGAGAATTTCAAAAAGTATGTTTCGCGGAGCGATCACTCAACCTACGTCATTCAAACTTTGCAGGATGGTTCAGACGTACATGCTAGGCATTCTAGACAGAAGATGATATCATAGCTGACACACAGAGTCACACACACAGCAGATTGTTGTGCACAGATACTAAATTAGTGGACGTCGTCATCTTCTTCTCGATGAACTCAAATGTACTATGACGTGCTATTTCGCCTGACGTGTGTGCCGCATTTCTATGCAGTGTTTGAGTGACAGAACACATACTCAATCATGATCATCATGATTCACAGAAGCCTTTTTGCGATGCAGTGTATCCAAACTTGATGCGCATCCGTTCCGCTGCGGAAGCTGTCGACTGATGCACGACAGCCATGCGTGCAGCCCAGCTATCACAAAAATATAATAAATGCCGAGGTTCTTCAATTTCATCGCCGATATTTAGTCGTCGTAATGGAGGATTGCGCTCGACGTGAAGCTGCTGAAATTGTAGTTCCGAACGCGGCCACAGCCATCAAGAATTAGTGATCTTTCTCGGACCAAGACCATTCGACTCAGCACCCCGAAGACTACAACTGTTGAAATTTTGATTTTTGCCTTAACTTCCCCTTAACCCTTTGCATGCTGAGCCCCTTTTCTCCAATCCACTGGCCGTCCAGCGCACTGACTCTCTTGGTGGAGTATGCACTCACAGCTCCGAACGAAATTTATTCTGATTTTACTCAACCTTGATGGATTTTCATCGTCCTGGGCTCGTTGGAAAGATCAGGACCAAGCGAATCCATCCTGGCAGCTCTCAGCTCCATAGACACATCAGGGCCACATCCAGGTCCTCTCCGAATTACTCCACCGTGCCTCGGAACGGCACAACAACTCAATTTCACATTCTTGTTCGGCTTCTTGCCCAAATTCAACAGATTTTCACAATTCAAACTGCGCTGCAAAGCTCAGATCCAAGCGCTTCATTTGATGTCCATCACGCATGCGCCGTGCCAAAAGGGAAATCCCCTGGCACGCTCTGCAACAAAAAGAAGTTATGAACAAAAAAATTTGCGTTCACTTTGGGCCGTGATTTCCGTGTTCATCTTGTCGCCGCTCAATGAATTCTTATCCTATCGCGAAGAACTTTATATCCCCGGAAAGATGAGGTGAAGATCTTTCCAACGGTGTATTGATTGTTGCGATGCGTTTATGTTTGATGAAGTTACGAAAGTTTGTACACTGGTCTATGCACTGCGATACAGCGCGCGTTCACTCTGGGCCGTGATTTCCGTGTTCATCTTGTCGCCGCTCAATGAATTCTTATCCTATCGCGAAGAACTTTATACCCCCGGAAAGATGAGGTGAAGATCTTTCCAACAGTGTATTGATTTTCGCGATGCGTTTATGTTTGACGAAGTTACGAAAGTTTGTACACTGGTCTATGCACTGCGATACAGCGCGCGATTTTTTTGCGAGTTAACTCGTACGTAGTGGATCAGGTCATGCACAAAGTGCGAGTTAACTCGTACTCAGCACGCAAAGGGTTAAAACACCAGCAGAACCAGGCTGTTCTAGCGCTCATTTTTGGTGCATGTCACGCATGGGCTGTGCACTGGGGCAAACACATACTTCAGCATAAAGTGCATCACAGCCACATGCTTGAAATTTCAACTCCACCCATTTGCTTGACTTCGAGCTTTGGCGCTTGAGTATTTTACTTTGCGCTATATCGAATGAAACATCGTTGGAAAGCTGCGTTCAACAGCTTTCGAATGAGCTGTTATATGTTGAATTTGAAGTAGTCAGACCAAAGTTATTGCTGTTTGTACAGTGCTCTATGCTCGGTTAGCATGACATGCATCACACTTGAAATTTCAACTTCAACCGGTGCATTCAACCGTGATTTTCTCGAACAAAAATGCACAGCACACGGTTTTCTCGATGGTAAAAATGATTCCGTAGGTTTTTAGCAGTAGTTTGCGATTATTCCGACCGCGGTGCAGCAAACGACCATGGTTTACAGAGTCGAATTCGACGCATTCACACTATGTTTTGTTTTTGTACGAGAAACCACGAACCTCGAGAACAGAATACTGAATGATAGAGGTGGTTGCAGAAGCAATTGTGGTGGTAATACTGGAGCATCTCCGCCGACTTGAGGTCTCGGCTTCAGCGACACTTCAGTGCGCCTTCCTTGAATGCCTGCATTCCCTTCTGCGTGGGAAGGTTGCGTAGCAGGGCAGATGAGACACGATTCCAGTCTTGAATCGTGGCATGGGGGAATGATCGGAGAGCACTACTACGGGTTTCGGCGGGCATTGTCGTTGCTAGTTGGTGCTGGTGCTGGTTCTCTTGCTGGTGACGAGTGGAGCGCCGGTGCTGGTTAGCAACTGCCCTCGTAGGCTTGTAAAATCACATTTCGCACAAGTGTGCTGTGTGTGTGTGCGCACTTACAAAACGCACAACATGAGGCACCCTCATGATTTAGCTTACTAGTGCTTTGATCGTGAGCCTCATGTACCGCTCTACTTTCCTGAGCGAATGACAGACTTGGCACACCAAGTCTGTCATTCTAAAATAATCTGACGTCTCTAATTATAAATTTGAATTCGGATAGTGAGCCAATATAGTTATAGGCATGGACGGGTGATGCTAATTATTTGCTGCGATAATGCTAACGGCACTGCTCATATTATGAGGATATAATGCCACTTATAATGCTCACAATACTCCATAATGTAAGCTTGAAAGTAGGAAAAGTCGATTTCAGAAAGGCCAAAGCGTAGAAAAAAAATTTCTACAGCAGTGAGCATGTTGTCTAAAACAATCCACTGAGAGAAGGTTGTCTGAACCCCCCCCCCCCCCCACTGAGAAGGTTGATTTGCAACGTCACCTCTCCGGACGAAGCCGGACGGGTTCAGATGCACGATTTTCGGAACTGGACCTAGCCAGCTTCATGCATGACACCGTTGTCGACCGGCAATTATGCTTGCATTATGCCACCTGGAAAAAAGGGACTATAATGCCAGCCATAATGCAAGCATTACCCGCCCATGCCTATCATGGCTGTTCGCGCACGGACATCTAACAATATGGAGTCGTTCGGTGCGATTTACGTAACGCGGTACAAACCTCATGAATACGATGGGAGTTTGCGTTTTGGGATGAAACTCATGTCACTCTCCGTGTGGTTCCACGATTTCGCAAGTCAAACCAGGATTTATTATTTGAAAGCGCTCGGGCGAGATACTCAATATCCAGACAATTTGAGAGAGAAGGAAGGTAAAAGGAACTCCTCCCGTGGTCAACCAGCATCCTGACCTTTTCGAACCTCTCCAAGCTGTCCCTGGTAGTCTGGATATTGACGCACGCACTGACTTTCAGCTTCTCCTCGCCGGGATCACGGGTGCAACTTTCAAATTTGCCGATATGCACTCGAACAAACGCACAATTGGATCTACATCACAATTTCGGGGTTATCTGTGTGCTTGCTGCCTTTTTCAGCAATACCCCACATGTCTACTGGGCAGTTTCCACCAGGCCTCGGCCTCCTGGACTCAACAGCAACTCCAGCGCCAAGCCATCTGTCCCCTAAATCGCATGAAAAGGTAGCTCAGCATCGAACGCACGGGACCTGAAGTTTGTGCACGGGACGTGATAAAACTTGGTGAAGATAGCCAGAAGATAGTCCTCTACCTGGGAAAACTGAAAGCTAGACTGGGAAAACTCCTGAAAGGGCTTCTTGACGCAGGCATGTCAACGATGAATCAAGGAACGAGCGAGAAAGAAGGCTTGACTTGTGCAACGCGGAACAAACTGTTCCTGAGACGAAGTTGGCCATGTGAGGTACCAGCGGAAAGCTAGTTTCAAGAGGAACACGGAATACCTGTTTTCCGGGTAAACCTGACCTGGTAGCTTTCTAAATCGAGCGAAAACCACAGCGAAATCGGCTGCTGAGAATTTGAAAATTTAAATTTCCTTGCCGATCGAGCCCAATCGAGACTTTTGGCTGCCATCTTGTTAACCCTTTACCGTTTTAGGTATTTGTACAGCAAAAACCGACCGTCATTGTTCATGCCGTAACTTTTTTATTTTTCACTTTTATTATGTACAAAATGGGGTGATTCTGAAAGTAAAAACCCTCAGGAATGCGATGCAAAAACTTTCAAGTCCAAAAACTGAACAGAGATATCACTATTTAGCACTAATAATTATTTGAATTTATTGCCGACCGGGCAAACTGTTGCAATATGCAATAAATCAGATCCTTGCACTGGAGTGGCTCCCTCAGGTAAGTGGATACCAGGTTCGTTCTCTGGGTGGAATGCAGGAGTGTTACCAGTCACAGCGGTGTCAGCATTGTCCCAAGTATTGCAAATATCGACTAGTGCAGGTTGCACCGCTGGCTGTACACAGTACCTGTGCACCACGACCTCTACCGTGACGACGGCCTATTCCACGGCCGAATCCTCTCTCTCTGCCACGTCCCCTTCCACCATTAGTGGCACTGTCGTCGTCTGTGACATCCATGTCACTCTCACTGGCGCTGCTTTCACTCGCCATGTCATCGTCGCGGTCGTCGTCAGAATAAATATTTTCAACAGGATTGTCTGGCTCCACAAACTCATCTTCGCTGGATGAGGCAGCGACAGAGTCGTCAGGAAGGGTCTCCAGAAGCGAAAGAGCTTGCTCCGCGTCCATGGCTTGCACAGCAGGGCAGACAGTCGTGAGGCCAGCTCAAGCAAAAGTCGAAATAATCTGCAGGCAATACCAAAAGTCGCAGGGTACGCACTTTTCCCAAAGCGCATTTTTCAAGTCGCGATTTTCGCGATTTTTTATATTGCATCACACAAAAAAATTGTCGGCACCCTCTGCGCGTACATCTTGGCTACCAGTAGGGAAAATCCCAGCTCCCTGCGGTGAACCAGTCCAGCGCTGTGCGCATAGAAGTCATCGACCGCGAGCGGTCGAAATTTGTACGTACAAACGGTAAAGGGTTAAATGTCCAAATTTCGCGGAAAAAAACAGCCGTGCCTATATTAGGGAGTTCAATCACGTGACCGGGCACATACATTGGGTCTCTACACCCGGATGTACGCATGACGTGGCCAGGTGGGCAGCGACGCATTTTTTAACATGTTTTGCTGCAAGCTCAAATTTATCAGCACGAAGACAGCCATTTCCTGGTTCGTGAAGACAGTAGCTTTTGTTTGGTGTGTCGCTCGCCATCGTTGAACCGTTTTCAGATGTCCAAATTTATGGAGGATCTTTTTGATCGTGTTTTTCAGTACTTTCTTCTGGTTGCTCGCCGAGGAAACGCTCATATTCGTGTAGAGCACCCTCGCATTTAGTAAGATCGAGTTGTCCTGTAACTTTAGGAAGTAGCAAAAGTCTGCCAAATTACCTGACCGATGGCACATCCCACAGAAAAGGAGACAGGTGACAGCAACAAGGACATCGTTCGAGATATGTGATAAGTGCTGGGTTTGACTCGGACGTCGCTGCTAATTTCAGTGGAAAACAACGATGGATTTCCATCGCTGAAGCGTAGTGCTGAGAGCTTGTCCAATGGTCTTGTGTTGGAGCTTTTCCAATTAAAAGAAACGGAGAAACTGACGTTCAAGGCTTTCAAAACATGGCATGAAGAAGCATTTCCATCGCTGAAGCGTAGTGCTGAGAGCTTGTCCAATGGTCTTGTGTTGGAGCTTTTCCGATTAAAAGAAACGGAGAAACTGACGTTCAAGGCTTTCAAAACATGGCTGGAAGAAATATCTGGGAGAGATCGTTCAACTTTAAATTCGAAAGTAGTGTCTGGCAAAGTGAAAAGACTGAAAGACAGACGTACTTACCTCCTCAAAGCAAAGAAAGAGCAGTGGCATTTGCTTTCTGAGCAGGTATTCGAGCTTCCAGCTGGAGAGGCAGCAGGCTCTGGGACCAGAGCTGGATCAAGCAGTGAAGCTGAGAGCAAATCTGCCGTGTCCAGTTGTGACCAGGCCACTGTAGAGATGATGGCTGCTGAACTTGTGTCCATGGAAGGAGAACTTGCTACTGTGAACAAAAGGAAAGATGTTCTGGAGGAGACTGTGAAGAGGCAGCGGGATAAGATCAGGAATGCGACAAAGAAGATGAAGCAATAAGACAGTGGCCTTGCGGAGGCCCAGGATAATGAGGAGAACACAGAGGTTTCGGATCTGAAGCGCCAGCTTACAAATGAGCAGCACCGTGTTTATTACTACCAAAAGCAGCTGTCAGTCAAGGCAGAGAATACGAGGGAGCTTGAATGTAGCCTGGCGGAAGTTCGCCGATTGCTCTCTGCGCTCAGAGCAAGATTTCGTCTCTTGAGGCTGGCCTGATGGATATGCATGAAGAAACAGAAGACTGTGACACAGATGTGCTGATGATGGATGGTGGGAAATATCGAGATGCAGTGAGGGAGTGCTGTCTTGGCTTCCTGGCGATGAATGTGGGAGTAAGGCATGTGGGTCCAGTTATCCGAACCGTACTGAAAATGGTCGATAAATCAGCTAATCCCCTTCCAAGTGCCAGGCTGCTCTCAAATTGCTTGTATATCTCAAGCAAATCAGTTCAATGCAAGTTGGCGAGTCCCTGATGGAAACAGCTAGCACCACCCTCCACAGCGATGGCACAAGTAAGGGTGGCTTCAAGTTCGGCAGCTACCAAGTGGCACGAACTGCCACAGAAGTGCTTTGTCTGGGAATTGTGGACATGAAGTGTGGTAGTGCAGACCACGTGTTGGACAAGCTGAAGCAAGTACTGGGAGATGTCACGAGCACTTGCAGTGGCAACGGCTAAGAACAAATCGCGGAGAAGATCTTGAAAGGCATCACCAATACCATGAGTGACCGCTGCATAGTGCAGAAGAAATTCAACCAACTGCTGCAGGAATACGCAGGAATACTGTGCTGAGGTATTGCCAAGTGTTGTTGGTGGATGGGAGGATTTGACATCGGAGCAGCAGAGCAAATTAACAACAATGAACAACTATTTCTGCGGACTCCACTATATAGTTGGATTAGCGGACCAATCGCAAGAGTGCCTGAAAAAGTGGGAAGAGGTCCATTTCGAAGGCAAGGCATTTGGGGCCACAGAGCTGCCACGGATGTTTGACACGACCGAGTCCAGAGTGATCCGCATGCTTCGCACCACTGCCAATGCCTTTGAAAAGCATGGCAACGAACAGGCTGGCTGCATGGCTCACTTCAATGTCTACATGGAGGAGACTGGTATTCCTGTCCCACTTGCGGAGCTACGTGGTAACTGAAGCTATGTTTGCTTTTACAACGGCGCCGGTGTCTACTATTTGCGAGAGACCCTTCTCCACTTCCTCCGCGATATCCATGGCGAAACGAATCTGTTGTTGAAAGCTGCCAAAGCTGATCTGTCCATTGACGAGCTCTGTGCAGGCGCCAGAGCACTTGGTTTACTGTCGAAGCTTGTGATCACCCCCTTATGGAAAGCTCTCGACGATGCAACATTATCCATTTTCGACATGTCGACACGGTACACAGAGCTGTACAGAAAATTTGTCGGGTGGTTGGAAGATGCCTCGCCGCTGCTTGATGGTACAGCTCGCCCATTTGCTGGTGCCACTCCCAACATGCTTGATGTTGTCAGGACCCGATTGCTTGAGCCAGATGAGAGCGATGCCGTCACCCAGGAAATCCTGCAGGTACTGTGTGCGGCATATGCGGCATACTCTGCACGGATTCTCGCAGATCACTTGCCAGGCAGGAAATTCCATGATTCATTCAATGACATCAGGCAGCAGGGTCAATCAGTGGCAAGTACGAATGCTGTGTCTGAGAGGGATTTTGCTCAGCTTGACCGTATGAGCAATGAGTTTGCACTGTCGCCCTGGAGGGCGTGATTATGTTCATGAACAACAAAACAGCAGTTTGGCTGTCAGCAAAACGTGAAGAGGACCGAGCTGCTATCCTTGCCTCAGCTCGCCAGTCGGCTCCAGCTGTTCAGGACCTGTACGTGATGACGAAACAAGTAAGTCTATTGGACAGACTGGCCTTACTACATCTCATCATCATCCAGTAACTTTCGGCATTCTTTGTTGCTACGCATCACGGCAACATTGAATGCCGAAAGTTACTGGATGATGACGAAACAAGTAAGACTATTTGACAGAACGGCCTTACTACATCTCATCATCATCGGCATTCTTTGTTGCCGTGATGCGTAGCTCATGCTCTTCTTCGTTGCGCTTTCCTTCCCCTCTTGGACCTTTCCGAACCTGAGTCTTCCAAGTTGGAAGGTTGTTGGTTTGCGCCTTGGATTAGTGTTGGAGCTAGGTGTCAGGTCGCCAAATGTCTCAGTACTCCTTGTCAGTTTTGTGCCATTTTGTCGCACTTGCTGACTGTATAAGATCTGGTCACGTTGGTGGACAGTTTATCATAACTCGTAACATTTTGTCCTTATCCTTTCTTCATCATAATTATTATTCCCGTCATTTTTCTTTGAGAACCGGACCTATAGGCCGGTAAGAAGGCAATCATGCCTGTGCGATTGGTGTAGTAAAATATAAGTCAACAAGAACAACAACAACAACAACAACAAATGGCCAGCTGTAAACATGAACAAATCATGTGAACTCCCTCCCTAGTTATGATGAAGAAAGGAAAAGGACAAAATGTTACAAGTTACGGTACGAGTTATGACAAACTGTCCACCAACGTAACCAGATCTTATACAGCCATAACTCGTAACATTTGTCCTTCTTCCTTTCTTCATCTCTACTTCTAAGTCTGTTTTTTAGGGTTATTTTCTCCCATGCTTGATTACATAATTTCATGTCTTCTTAGCTATCATTGATGATGTTAATTGGATACCGCTGCATATACAGTAGCCTTGATCAATTTGTTTGTGCGGAAATATTGCATTTTCAAACGTGGGAACCTTTTTCAGCCTTACTTGATCAAGATCATTCAGGACTGCTACTATACAGTAGACTTCACATACTCAATCTGCGGACAGAACTGTTTCGTCGTTCACATAGATTATTTTTCTCCAAATTTCCGAAATATCACGCTGCATTCATTCATGCTTGATTTTTGCCCATTTTGGCTTGGGAAAATTGGATGCCATAATTATATGGTCAATATCCCAGGTTGAATAGGGATTGTCTTGGTGCAGTATATGCCTGATTTCTGTAGTTTTCCATTTGGAAACTTTTGTTTATACCGCGAAATTGTAGTGTGGGAAGTTTCATTGCCATATATGGGCAACATTTCTTCTTCCTATACACTTGGGGCAGTGCTCATTGTATTCCTTGATGTTTTAGCTGCGGAGATATTAGTACATTTCAAAGACTAAACAAGTATCCAAATTTACATGAACATCCAAAATAAATGTGGGCCTTAACGCTTTGAGTGCGGATGACGTGTATACAAGCGCCTGAACCCCATGCCGGTTCTCTGATGATGTGTATACACACGTATCGCGGTGAATAGATCAGTGTGCAAACTTTCGATACTCTGTGAACGAAAGCCCAATCTCCACAAACGACACAATGTTATAAAGGTCTCAGCTTCCCAGGATTATAAAGTTCTATGCGATAGGATAAAGATTGAGTAAATGGCGACAACATGAACACGGAAATAAAGGCCTGGATTGATCGCGATTTGTTTTGTTCGTGACTTCGCAGTTGTTTGGAGCATGCCAGGCGATTTCCTTTTTGCACAGCGCATGCGTTATGGCCATCAAATGAATCGCGTGGATCTCAGTTTTGCAGAGCAGTTTGAATTGTGATAAATGGTTGAATTTTAGCAAGGAGCCAAAAAAGAGTGTGTGACTGAGTTGTTGTTTCGTTCCGAGGCATGATGGGCCAGTTTTGAGTGGCCGTTAGGGTCCAGCGGATGCTGGCAACTGAAAAATTGGCAGAATTCGGTTCTGTTTTGGTAAGTTTCATGCATGTTTGGTATGTGGATAAAGAAATGGAGCAGAATTCGAGGAATATCCCGCCATTGCCCGCCATAAGGTTTGTATGGTTCTGCCAATTTTACTGCTTTTGGAGCAGAATCTGCCACCTTTTCGAGCAGAATCCGCCGGTCCCTAGCACAGGTCGTTGATGTCGCTCTGGCTGGGCTATGGAGCTGAGAGCTTTCAGGATGGATTCACTTGGTGCTGATCTTTCCAACAAGCCCGGGATGATGAATATCCATCCAGGTAACCTGAAATGATAATATATTTTGTTTGGACCAGTGCACCAAAACTCCACCAGGAGACTCCGTGGGCTGGAGTGCCAGAGTATTTGGGAAAACTGGCCAGAAGGCAAAGGTGTTTTTTAAGTTTCAGGGGTTGGGTGAATGGGTCATAACTAAACTTTTTCGTTTCGTAAAAATGAGCGATATTTCCGAATGGCCCCTTAAGATAGCAGCCTGGTCGTAAATTTCATATGGCATTCAATTGACCGTAACTTTGGTGTTTCTCAATGGATTTGAGTGACATTTTTACCACACACTCCTGCCACTATGCTGGCCCTCTGGACTTGATTTGGAAGGTCTTGCGCCTAACTGACAGGCTTTCCATGCCGGAAAAACTCAAAATTCTGGCATAGTGTCAAGGTGTGCGAGCCACTCAGGAGCCAAAAAAACACATTTACAATTTTTCACATTGTCTTGCCCATTCTGTCCGTGCACGGAATCCAAACTAAAAATGTCCAGAAGCAGCCATGGGCGGTGGGATAGGGTCCCTCAACGTGGCCCTGGAATCTGTCACAACGGAACGAGTGGGCGTCCCTCACAGATTTCCACAGACCAAAGACAATTTTGGATTTTTTTTAGGTTAAGCACGTGCTACAAGGTCGTACCTTTGATACAACATCCAGTGCTGGGACCTCCACAGGATGCCATTTCCACAGCCCTGCACACCGAATTCACGATACCCTCAAAAATCGGCAAAGACTACCCCTCATGTTCCACAACTGCCTAGTACTGAATCCTACCTGACTTTTTGACATGACTCAAACTTGCCAAAGTCACGAAATCAACGTCAACTACAATAATCAAGCCCCATATCTGCAACGTCACGAGGGTGCTGGCCAAAGTCCTGCTGCACGGCGGCGGGCTTTAACCGCTGCCGTGCAGCCCAATACAAGGCTAAAAGCGTG